GGTGCTTCTAAGAAGCCTTCCCCCCTCCCCCCACCCCCCTCTGCGCGTGGCTGACTCCTGGCGCGCCGCAGCATCCCGGAGAAGACCCCAGGGCTGGCCCGAACTGGCGCGTTTTCCTCCGAAACGCCGACCAGGGCGTCCCTCTGTGCGATTGCAATCGGCAGAACTCTCAGTCGACGGCCACGTATATACAGACATGCATGCATGCACTCATCACGTATATACATCCATGCATGCATGCATGCATTCAGATCTCCCTATATATAGAGAGATATGTATAGTAAATTCTAGCAAGTTCTCGTTGTAGCTAAAGTGCTCGGCGTCGAAGGACACATAGTGTCACACGGATCGTGCAGCTTAGGGAGCTCCACCGACGGCCCCAGGTACAGGCTTGGCATAGAGAGAGGAAACATAACTATGCACATACACCGATTCTGGCCAGGCCCATCCTGAGCCCAGGATCGGTGCATACGCCCGCTACGTTGGCCAGGAAGGTACATGCACCGATCCTGGGTCAAGGACGGGCCTTGCCAGGATCGGTGCATGTGTATGATTCTCTTGGCCCGATTAGAGTCCCCCCGCCAATGCCGGTACACCTCTCAAAGGGATCGCGCCCCACAGGGATCTCCACTTACGTCCCCAGAAACAAGGTTCGCATAGTGGCACGCCCCTCACGCGGATCGCGCCCAGCAAGTAGTTGCACTTGCAGCACTGGAGGGAAGCTTTGTAGCGTCGCCTGGATTACTTCGGCACATCTCTCACACCCATCATGGCCCGCAGGGAGTTCCACGGACGTTCCCAGAGGCCAGGTTCGCATGCCGCCCCCCCCGCCTACTTCGGCACACCTCTCGCACTGGGTCGTGGCCCACAAGGATCTCCACATATGACCCGAGAGGAAGGTTCGCATTGCGCCCCCCCCGCCCATTGCGGCACACCCCACCACGCGGATCGTGCACAGAAGGAACACCACCTAAAGGCCCAGAGATAAGGTTCGTAAAGCGCCTCCCCCCCATGCCGGAGCACCCGTCACGCGAATCATGCCCCAGAAGGAGCTGCACCGCTGCACCGATGGCACCAATGGGCAACTTCGCATGGCGTCCCCCCGCCCATTTCGGCATATGCCTCGTACGGGTCGTGCCCGGAGGAGGTCCACCTGCGGCTTGAGTGGGCGTCTCCGCGCGGGGCATCTGAATTATTCGACACCCGCTTCACGCGGACCGTGCCCCACAAGGAGTTCAGCGCACCCGTGCACACGTGCTTCGCAGCAGCCCCCTTTCCGCAGTGCCCCGCGGCGCGCAGTGTATGAAGAGAGACCCGCGCCCTGCGCTACACATGACTGCATAGGGACGGATCCGTCGCTAAGCCAATTGCTTGCTTATCTATAGCCCTCGGCCCATATCGTTACTGTGCCTGACAGAAGATTATCGGATACCTGTAATTCGGGTTCTGTTGGCATGCTTCTCGAGCACCGCGTGGAACGACTTTTGAAGCCTCTTGGGGCCTCTTGGGGGCCGTTAGGGGGCCTCTTTTTGAAACCTTTGGAGCCTCTTGGAGGTCTGCTAGCGATCCTGGGGGCCCGCTGGGCGCGGAGGGCTCGAAATGTCAGTTTGGGATCCCCCTAGGATCCCTCTTGGGCTGTCTTGGGCGCCTCTGAGACCGTCTTGGGGCTCTCTTGGGCCGTCCTGGGGCCCGCTTGGGATCGTCCCCTAGAGCGCCCAGACCGCCGTCAAAGCGGCTCAACACAGCCACGGGTAGCCCCTAACAAGACGGCCTCCAGGCTTCTTGGACGGCTCCCGCGGCGTCTCCAACGGCCCCAACGGCCTCGAAGACGCCCCAGGACCGCTCCCAGAAGACCCCCCAGAGAGCGCCGAGAGGCACATTGTCCAGTTCCCTTCATCAACAAAACGCCTATTTGTGATCCGCTTCTGTGGTGGTCACGAGGGAGAAGGGAGAGGGGAGGAGGGAGGGGGGAGGATAGGGAGGAGAGGAGGCGACGGCCCCAGGGCCCCCCGGGCACCACCCCAGGACGGCCCGCGAGGGCGCTCGGACGGCCCAAAGTGGACTCCAAGATATCCCAAGAGACGCCCAGGAGGGCCCAGACGGGCCCCCCGAGGGCTTCAAGAGAGGCCCAAGATGGAGGATTCCAGCTGACATTTCGGGCTCTCCGCCCGCAGAGGGCCCCCGAGCCCGCCATCATGCCCCTAGGAGGCCCCCAAGAGGCCCCCAGAGGCCTCCGAGTGGCCCACAATAGGCCCCCAAGAGGCTCCCAGGAAGCTCCCAAGAGGCCCCGGGAGGCTCCCAGGAAGCCCCCGGGAGGCACTGAAGAGGCCCCAACATGCCCAAGGAGGCCCTGAAGAGTTTGAACTTGAACGGTTCTCGCGTCCTCGCTTCCCCAGGCCTCTCAGGGCCCATGGCACGCCAATGAGTTTCCCAGATGACCCCAAATCGGTCCAAAAGGACCCGAAGAGCGCCCCAGGACAGCACAGGAGGGCCCCAAGACGGCTCCAAAGAGTTCAGGACGGCCGAAGAGAGCCCCGAGAGGGCCAGATGAACGGGGGGTCCGCCAGGACGATCCAAAGAGGCCCCCGAAAAGGTCTCCATGAGGCCCGTGGTAATCATTCCGTGACACTCCGAGAGGCATCCAAGCCACCCCTCACCTACTCAACATCGTTTAACCAATCCCCATCCCCATCCCCATTTCCATCCCCACCATCCCACCACCCCAGCTGGGGATATGCGCCTCGAAGCTCGAAGGGAACAGCCCATATCCCCATCAAGGGATGTAAATCGGCCAGTGGTGCCCAGACCACGCCCGTAGGGGCATGGATCGGTTAAACAATGCTCACCTACGACCCGAGACACGGGCATGGGTTATGTGTTGTACCCATACGCGTGCGAACGCATGTATGAGTCAACATGCGAGGGTGGGCACGGTTCGAATCCTGCGAATCTTGCCGTATGTGGAGTTCTCTGTGGCGCACGATCCGCGTGAAGGGCGTGCCGAAATGGGTGGAGGGGACAAGCTCCCAAAACGCCCCAGGAAGCCCCCCAGAAGCCCCCATAGGCCTCCCAGAGATCCCCAAAAGCCTCCAAGAGGCCCCCACGACGCTCTGGAAGCGTCCACATGAGACCTCCAGGAGTCTCCAAGAGGTTCAAAGACGCCCGACGAGGCCATCGAGATTGTAGCTTGTGTCGCTTTGCAGACAACGTGCTAGGTACGCGCATCCTGCAGTTTCTTATCCGTCTCCTGATAGCCGTTCGTTGACCTCTGTAATACAACGTGTAGGGGCAGTGTTCGGCAGAACCTACCGCTTGAAGCTACAGACTCTTGATGCTTACAGCGGTGCTTGTTGTTTGCCTCTTGTTGCAGAGGTCCGCAGATGCGCCTCTCTGCTCTCTGCGTTCGGCAGGCCTGCAATCTTAGAAGCGGCTCGTGTGGGCAGACTCCATCGCCGCTCCTTAGCACCAGCAGCATTTTCCGCCGCTCTGTGTAATGATGTCCTTTGGCGAAGGCAGTTCTTTTGCGCAGCCGAGCCCCACTAGCAATCCCACGCGCGCATTGGACAAACAAAAACGGCAGATTTGGCTGTATCAAGTTTGCTCGAGAGCTGGCGCGCATTACCCGGTGATGAGTTGATTGAGCGGTTGACGCATGTATCGATGATGCAACCTGAACAAGGACGTCGAGCGGAACAAAAAACACCCGACAAGGCCTCACAAGGCCCCCCAAAAAGATTACAAGAGGCGCCCGAGGGGTCCTCAAAAAGCCGAAGAGCCCCTAAGAGGCCTCACAAAATGCCGAGAAACCGTTGAATTTTCCACTCTGAGCTTCCCCTGGGCCGGGACTTGTCGAGGGTGCTTTGGGCGACGACGAGGAGGCGGAGGAGGAGAGGACGAGAAGGAGGAGGAGGAGGATGGGTAGTGGAGAAGGAGGAAGAGGAGGCGCAGCAGGACGACGACGACGGCAGCGACGGAAGAAGGCTCCGATACGAGGCCAGTAACGGTTTGCGGGAATTCCTTCGAGGACTGCGGGTTTCGACATGCCTTAAATATTGTCCCGGAGGCGTTCTAGACACTCACAACAGACCTCCGAGACAACCCCAAGAATACGCTGGCAGTTCCGAGACACCAGTTGGACAAAGAACCCCCGCCCGAGGGGGGGTGGAAAGTTGTTCCCTCAGGCGCGACTGAACCTGACTTCTTCGGGCCTTGAGGCTTTGTTGAGGCCGCGCTTGAGAGTTCCCTTTGCCTCCTCGCACCGCCTCTTGCGGTCTTCCCCGAGCACCTCCGGGAGGCCTCTTGAGACACCATGTGTAGCTTGTCTAAGTCTTCTTAAACCTCCATTGGGCCCTCGCTTGGCCCTCTGGGAGCCTTCCAGCGCACCCTCTTGGAATCTCCTTGGGCCATCTTGGGGCTTCTCTTAGCCCCCTCTTTTGCATTCTGCGTATGGCACTCTTGGAACTCGAATGGGGCCGCTCTTGGGATCCCCTTGGTCCTCCCTTCGAGCTCACTTTGACGCAATATTGCGGCGCGGTTCGCAACCCGGCAGGGAGCCGCGAGGTCTCGGCAGATCTGCGTGGACCTCCCCTGCAGTGGAAGCAGCGGTGCTCGGCCTGCGTGCAGCTAGGCAGCGGGTTCCGACACTCGTCCTAGTTACAAACTCAGGTCGAGCACCCTGACGAAATCAACAGAGACAGTCCATTTTCTTCCAGCGGCTAGGGTTTTTAACGCTGGCGCCTCCGAGGGCGTCGGTCTCACGATTGGCCTTGCGGAGGCCGGCCAGCCTGCTCTGGGAAGGCCACGTCTTCTCCCTCCCCTCTCTCTTCGCCCTCCTTTTCGTCCTCTCCCTCTGCCCCCCGTCGTCCCC